GGGGCTTAGGGTGGGTTGTGGGAGGAGATCCCACAGAGTAAAGAGACGGGAGGTGCAGAGGGAAGCTGGGATGAGGTTCCCTGATCCCACTGCAACTCACCTTCCCACACACGTGACTGGGGCATGTCCAGGCACTGCTCCGCTGGTGGTGCAGCCCTGGGAGCTGCAGGAACCCTGTGACAGCACCTGCATGACCAGGAGGGACAGCAGTACCCCCTGGGACAGGTCACACCACAATTCAGGTCACTGCTGAGGCCAGTACAAGCCTTTCAGGCCACCAAACATCACCCCCAAGCTGCTCATGGGCTGGGCTGCACTCGAGGGTTGCCACCACAGGGACAAGGGTGTGTGGCAGCAGAGGGTGGTGGCATTTCTGCCTCAGGACTCATGCTGGGAGCCAGGAGGGGCAGAGCACTGGCTCTCCAGGAAACCAGTCTCCGTGGGAGACTCCCTTCATGCTTCAGGCCACGTGCCATTGACCACAGTAAGATCTGATGGCAACAGCATTTTCCACAGTCTCAGGGCAGTTTCTGGGCAATGACTGGGAAAAATAAGCTGCAGAGAGAGTAGGGAGAGACAAAAAGAGCCACATGGAAAAGTAGATGGACATAAATGAGAATCGTGGTGTGATTCTTGGGGCTGTCCTGTGCAGGGCCAGGAGCTGAACTCTATAGTCCTTCTGGGTCCCTTCCAGCTCAGGATATTCCATGATTCTGTGGTACTTGTATTGTGCTAAGCCAAGCAAGCTCTGTTTTTGAGCCAAACCAATAAATACTGAAGTGGTGCAAGTGACTGAGCCGGGTTTTGACCTTCAGGCACTTCTAGGACCAAGTAATGTTTCAAGGGGAGGATGTGTCCCACCAAACCCAACACCTGAAGAACCCCCACGCTGCTGTCAGAGCACATGAATTCCATTTTCTTTGAAGCTCTTCCAGCCTCAAAGTCCTGCCTGGCAGTCACACACGTTTCCAGGTCTAAATTTGTTGGCCTGTCTCTAGACATATGCTGTACGATACGATATGGAGCATTTGGGCATGGATTGCCGAGCAGCAGCGCCGTCTGCTTCCGAGCGCTCCCGCTGTGCCGCTCTCTGCTCCTTCAGCTCTGGAAAACCTACGGATTAATATTTCCATGTACACAGGGGCTGGCTCTGCACCTCAGTATGGGCAAGGGAAGGGTAGAGCCGAATCCAGAGTTGCTGGAACAGAGCAGGGAAGGACACAATGCAGTACAGGGTGTGCAGTTCTGTCACCAGAGCCAAGGCAGGTCACCCACCTCTCCCATGCTGTTTCCCATAATGTTGACCATAAACATCCCAACATCAGCGAGGAGGACAGGGACTGCTCCTGCAGTCAGGGAATGGGATGGGGCAAGCTCTGCAGGGTGTGTTAAACCCAGCCCCATGCCTTGCTTTCCAGGGTTGTCCACACCATGAGCCACCCAGGACAGTGGGCAGGGTTTCCTGCTTCCCTCTCCAGCCTTGTTCAAGATCTTTGGACACAAGAATCATTCAGAGTTACAGCGGAGCAGATCAGAAGCTGACTCTGGTTCTCATCAGAAGGTCCCAGTGTTAACAGTCAGGTTTTATCACAGCAAAGATTGTCCATGAAAAAGCAACCTGCAGACCAGGCTGCACACCCAGACACGAAGGGGTGATGACTGCAGCTCCCAGCACAGCCTGGATGTGAAGGCCTGCTCTGAAATCCTGCCTTTCCCTTGGCACAGGAGCTGGTTCTCTGCAGAATTCCCTCCCTGAGGACAGGTTGCAGCAGGGCTCAGGGCCAAATTTCCCTCTTTGGGGTGCACACTGAGGGCCTGACCAGGGTGAGCACCCCCAGGCACACCCCAAAAGGCTTGAAGGAGCAGACAGAAGTTGGGCAGGTGGAATCCTGTCAAGCCAACCTACGATTTGGCTTGGAAAGAGCATCTGAGGTTCCCACTAGGCAGCCAGGCACCAAGCACAGCTCTGGGTCATGAGCAGGGCCACAGATAAAGCCCTGAAGCTCCCAGCAGCCAGCAGACCACCCCATCTCACATGCCATGCCCAGGGAGCTCCCGGGGTTCAGGGGGCAGCAGCATCTGGCTGAGCAAGGAAGCAGGGCAGCACAGGAGCTGCTGGCACAGAGATCCCCTCCAGTGTGGAGTCCAGTCTCTGGAGCAGGGAGGTGACAAGGACTGGTTTGGAGATGTCCCTTCCTGTGCCCGGTTTCCTCTTTGGAGAGCTCTCCTGTAGATAAGAGGGAGGGCACACAGTGCCATGGTCCTGCCTGGGCGTGTTCCCAGCAGTTGCCAGAGAGGCAGAGGTGGCTGAGCCTGATCACCCCAGCATTTCAGGATGAGTGTGGCATCCAGCAAGGTGTCAGTCCCCAGTGACTCCATCCCAGCAACCAGCCTGAGACAGCTTTGCCTCCCTGTGCAGCTTTGACTCCCTGGCTGAGCGTGGTGTCTAGTCCAAGGTCTCCACCAGTTTGTTCCCTGCCCTCTGAGCAGTGTGCAGGGTGGAGGGATGGGGGGGCTGAGGTCACCTGGCTCCTTGCTCTGCTCTGCTCCTCCTGGTTTGGCCCTGGTGGAGCCACGAATGGTCTGTGCATCCCTTCTGACGAGGTTTGGCAGCCCAGGGCATCCTACAGTCCTCAGACTGGAAGAAACCAGGGGGTGAGATCAGAGCCATTCCTGTGACCTCCCAGAAGTGCCAGCACTGAGAGCTCTCACCCTTGTTTTGGGTCTAAAGGGGATCCCCAGCCATCCAGTGTGAAATATCAGGAGTCTCCATATCAGGACTTCCCCAAATCCCATCTACTAGGAAGCTTCAGCTGAGTGGATCCTGGATCAGGTCTCTGTCCCGCTGAAACCACTTCCAAGCTCCAACACCACATCTGCTGGCTCACCCCACCAGCCTGCACTTGGGGCCATAAGAAGATGAATTCCCCCCTTGAGCCCACTGTGCTGCCAAGCCCCCACCTCCCCTGCACACCACTGCCCCTAAAAAGCCAGAGCCATGTGCCTTGCTCCCAGCTGCTGGAGAACAGCCAGGAAGCACTTCCAGACTGCGTCACCACATTCACGGCCTCTCTCGGGCTATATATAGTTGCGTGACTGCAGGTTTTTCTGGACGTCGAGTTGCTAAAGAAGCAGCACTCCCCACTCAAAGCAGAGCACATCCCAGAGGGGAGCTGGGCTGGAAGGGGGAAGCTGAGCTGGAATCGGGGCGCTGAGCAAGCTGAAGGAACCCTGAGCACCCCCCAGGTGAGGCTTGCCTTGCTGACAGGGCCCTTCCCTCTGAACAACCATCACGCTGGAATTTTAGCCCTCTCCACCTCCTCAGCAGTGAAGTGCTTGTGCAGCCTGGGAGCTTGTGCAGAGCCAATTTTGTTTTGCCACAGCCAGCAGATCCGGAGAGGATGCGAAACTCAGCGCCAAGAGCTGCCTCGCAAGGAGGTCACAGCAAACACGGAGGGAGGAACCGCGGCTGTGCTGAGCATCACACCCCCAGCCCTCCCAGCCACTCTGCTCCCCAGGATTTTGAGGAGAGCCTGAGCTCAGAGGCACTGACTCAGGCACTGCAGCCTCCCCGTGGTCCCCCGAGGCCACAGTGCTCCAGACTGTCCTGCAGCACAGCAGGGATGGCACTGAGTGCATCTCTCTGCATCCCACTGGGTCCCTCTGGCTCAGGCACAGCCGGGCAGCTGCCAGACCTTGTGATTCTCCTTCTGCTTCACTCGGACACCTGGGACTGTCCTGGGATGGGACACGTGCCCAGGAGATGCCATGGATGGGGTATGAGCTCTATCAAACCCCATGTCTTAGTGCAGAAGAGGAGTTCAGGGTAGTCTGGCCCAGTGGAAGGTGTCCCTGCCCATGGTGGGGGGTTGGAACAAGATAATCTTTAAGGTCCCTTCCAACCCAGGCCATCCTGTGATTCTATGATTCCATGATACTATGATTCTGTGACATTTGTGCAAAGGTGGAAGAGTCCCTGTGACTCTCCTCCTTCCCAGAGGAGTTAGGAGCCCTTTCACTCCATGCCCTGCTGTTTCTATATGGGCTGTGAATTAATTTGAGCCCTGCTATCTTGTATCAGATTTCAGTGATCCAACAAGGAATCCCAAAGAACACACAATCCTTTTAGGACCCGTTGCTTTCCAGGCCAGAGTCCTGGTGTGCCAGTTCCTGCAGCAGCTCTTGGTCAAGCCTCCCTCTCCCTGACCTCCTCCTCGTGCTGCTGCGTGTTCATTGCAGCCGTGACTGCACTGGCATTGCTGTGAAAAAGCCTGACTAAAAAGCAACACCAAACATCACAACAGAGGAAGTGAAAGTGGGGAGGCCCTGGCACAGGTTGCCCAGAGAAGCTGTGGCTGCCCCAGCCCTGGAAGTGTCCAAGGCCAGGTTGGACAGGGCTTGGAGCAACCTGGGCTGGTGGAAGGTGTCCCTGCCCATGGCAGGGAAGTGGAACAAGGTGGTCTATAAGGTCCCTTCCACCCTAAATTATTCCAGGATTTTATTATATCCTTCTGTGAAGCCAGTTCTGGTGATCCATGGCCTTAGCCTGTCCCAGCCACCTCCTTCCAGCCCTCAGGAACCCTGAAGCTGCTTGTTGGAGTTCACTGTGTGAGAAGGTGGAGCAGTCCTGCAGCGCTGCCTTTCCTCTGAGCCCACCCATGCTGACCTCACCACAGTGTGGCAGAATACTTGAGGTCAGAGGGGACCCCAGCAGGCCTCTTGTTCAACCTTCTGCTCAAAGCAAGGTCCACTATAAGATCTCATTGTCCAGTGGGGGCTTGGAAGCCTCAGAGGACGGAGATGGCACAGCTTCTCTGGGCAAGCTGCTCATGCTTGGCCGCCTTCATGGAAAAAAAGTGTGTTTTTACCATCAGTCTGAAATTCTCTTAACTTACCTAATACCTGTTGTCTCTCTTCCTCTCACCACTCTGAAGAGTCTGGCTGTCTTCTCAATAACCTCCTCACAGGATTCCCCTGCATCTTCCCCTTCTCAAGGATAAATCTCCCACTGCTGCTGCTCTTGCCTCTCTGAAAAGGTAAAGATCTGCCTTCAGAAAGAAGGGAAAAAAGAAAGGAGAAAAAAAAGGATTAAAAGAAAAAAAAGAAAGAGAGAACTACTTCAAACTCTATTGAGCCTCTTCATTCCAATCCCGCTAAAAGTGAAGGCAGCTGAGAAGATCCCATCCCATCATACTCTGGACTGCTCTAAGAATCAGGAATGATAAATCAGCTGACTTACCTCAGTCCAAGGTGTTCCCACCCCTCTGCTGACACTGGATAACACAGGACTGTGAACATTCCTATCCTGGAACACCTCTGAAGGAAAAAAAGCCACTGTCTGCCAGAGTTCAACTTTCTCTAAGGAAGCAGAGATATTTAGCAGGTAAAACAAGGGAAAAGGAGGCTTGAGAGGTCTCAGGTAAATCCCTTAATCCCACCCTGCCTTCGTTTTCCATACTGCTCCTGAGGAACCAGTGGCTGAGTGCACAAAACACCTGCACAGAAAAGCAAGTGCTGCCTGATCAGCCTCTTCCCCTGGGTGAATCATCTGTTCTGTGCTGATTTCACAGTCCCTCACAGCATGAGCCAAACCCAAAAAACAGTGCTCACGTAGTCAAGGTGAGCTCTCCAGAAGGTGAGTTATGTTTTTTTCCTGGATGAAGCTGGATTAGGAGGGGCTGGAGATACAGGAGTTAGCTCCATCCATCAGAAGCAGATCTGGGTATCAGCATCATCAACAACCATCAACCATCTTCCCTCTGCCTACAACAGTGTCCCTACAATGTCTCCCCAACCAGCATTGACTGAGGCCAGCCCTGGTTGCAGAGACAGCAGTTCCAGACATTGTAGCCGTGGACAGGTAGGTTGGAGACCATAAGTGAGTGGGGACATACAAGGTGTGATGGAAATGTGGTTGAGAGCAGTGTGGAGAACAGGCAGTGTGAAGAGGGACGGGGGATAACCAGATTTGACCAAGCAAGAGCTGGCCATGAGCTTTGGATCTGCTGGGGAAGACCACCCTCCATGACCGAGGGCCATCTGGGAGCCAGCATAAAGGTGGGAGCAATCCAGGAAGCCTTGGGAAGGCACCAGCAAGACTCTAAGAGGGTCAGGAGGTTGTAGGTCTCATCTCAAGCTACTCATTAGCCACAAGGACTCTGGCCTTTCAACCAGACTAATTACTGATTGCTCAAAGGATGACACTTCCCACAGCTGCCAAACTTGCTGACGCTGGGCCCTGGGTGTCTTCTATTCTGGGAAGGGGGAGTGGAGTCTCCTAGTGTGAACTTGTGGAGCTGGGCAAAGCCACACTGGAGCAGAGATAAAGTCAAGGACAGCTGCAGCTGCTTGGCAATCGTTCAAAATGAGCCACGAGTCAGTGACTTGGCTATTCTGGGACGAGCTGAGGAGCCAGCGCTGGGGAGAGCGAACTCACAGCCTGTTCACACATAATGGACTGCAGCAAGCCCGGACCTGAGCAACGCCCAGCACGCAGGCACGTCTGTCAGGGACCTGATCAGGGACTGCAAAGCCCTGCCCTGGTCACCAGGGAGGAGCCACGGCTGCGGATCTGCCTTGGGATTGATCTACCAGACCTCACAGGGATACAGCAGGGCAGAGCCACACAGGGTCCCTGAAAGGCACAGGGAGAAACAGCTGCTTCGAGGACTTTTCAACCCTCCAAGTTGCTTGAAATTGGGTCAAAGCCTTCGCCTGAGGCTGGTGTATCCAAGCCCAACTGCTGCTGAAAATTGTAGTGAACCCAGCAGAGGTTTCCCAAGTCAGAATTTGTTGGGGATGGGGTGGATGAAGCCTGTGATATTCCCTGAATTCGAAACCAGTGACCAGAGAAATCCTCTCAAATCTTGGCCTAAAGCTGGAGCCCGAGTTGTTTATGTGCTGCATTTCCCAGCTTTCGGGTGGGAGCACTGGGGTGGGATGCCCCGATGTGCCCCAGCAAAGGTCTGCTCCCTGCCTCCAGTATTCCCAGCAAGGCTGGGTCTGACCTGACCCCACCACACACCCCGGTGCAGGTCACCTCCAGAGCTGCAAGACTCAGATAGACAATTAAGCTCGTTGGGAGCTCACCCAAAGGACACCAGGCCTTTTGAGGTCACTCACTGCATATGCTGGAAAGCAGATATGATCTCATTAGGCAAATATTTATGATCAATATTGTCCACTCCCTGGCAATGAACAGCATCACTTGGAGCAAGAAGCTCTCCAGGGATGGATGGGGGTTGACCCAAGAGCCTGGGCTGAGTGTGAACCTCTGCTCACCTGGCTTGAAAACACCTACAATTATCCTAAATATTTTTTTCACGATTCACCAGGAGATTAATTAGCTGCTTGGAAACCCCAGACATTAATTATTGATTATGCAAAAGATTTTGTTCATCACAGTTGCTGAGCTTGTCAGAGTGCTGTGGGACAGGATGGCCGAGGACATCAGGATGGAAGGGGAGTCTGGATGAGCCCTGGAGAGTGGATTTGCCACTCGCTCCCCATGGTGGGGCCTCTCTGCAAAGGAGAACAGCTCAAAAACAGGGGCTGAGCGTGGCAGGGAGAGCCCAACTCAAACACAGCCTGCCCTGAGGGGCAGGGAACTGAGGCAGAGGGCGTCGTGACCTGTCCAGGGAGCAGATCCAGGACTCCCTGCCCCCTGGGGCTGATGGATGGGGCTGCCTGCGGGGCGTGCGGAGGGGAGATAACCCAGCATCGCCTCCCCCTCGCCGGCTCCACCGCGGCACCCAAGGCGCTCCGGGAGGACAGGGGTCCCAGCGGCCCCTCCTCGCCCCGGCTCCCCGGGCAGAGCGAGCCGGCAGCCGCGGGTGGCAGTGATAAACCTCCTGCAACGCCCGGCAATTAATCTTGTGCCGCGGTGAGTCAGAGTCACCCGGAGCTTCCTCCCCTCACCCAGAACCAGCCACGGCCGTCTCCAGGAGCTCTCGGCTCCGGGGAACCTGCGGATGCCACTGGGCTCAGGGAGAGGGATTTTTTGTGTGAATGCTGTGCCATCACTGAGAGGTACCAGATTCCCTTCCGGATCTCTCAGCTGCACCCGAGGGAGATGAGACCCACCGATATCCACATGCCCTGGTGTATCTCCTCAGACGAGTGGGGTGCTTTAGTCCCAGCCATCGGGAAAGCGAGAGGGAGATGCCATCCTCATGATAAAGCTTCAAAATAAAGAGGTGTCAAAAGCCAGAGGGGGTGGAGGCGGCAGGAAGGACCTAAATAAAGCCCCAGGGAAGGAGTCGTCATGTTTAATTCCCACCAGGAAAATGCCCCCGCACATTTCCCCCCCACCCACCCCTTTCTCCCCCCCAAATCCGCGGTGCTCCCCGAAGTTTGCCAAGCTTTCCCGGGCAAAAGCCTCTTTCCCGCCTTGCCCTAGGCATGAATGCAGTTTGCAGTTTTAACAGCAGATGTCTCTCCTATTATGATTTATAAAAATGCTTAAAATAAATAATGCAAACATATTTACAGGAATGAATTCCTGCTCCCGAGCGCGTTTGTCACTCGGAGGCTCCCGAGCAGGAGCGGCTCGCCGCCTGAGTGCCTCCCGCACAGCCTCCCCGCCTGCCCCCCCGCCGGCGCTGCGGCGGCTGCCAGGAGCCCAGGGCAGGGTGGCCAAATCCCAAATCCACCCCCCACGCACACAGACACAAGCACCCCCCTCTCCCCAAACGCCGGGTCCGGGGCCCACACCGGCGCTTCAATGCGAACACGTTGTATAATCAACGCGTTAAATATTTAAAATGGTCGCGCAGGAGAAGCTGCCCGGCGGTGCCTGATTTCACACATCCTGACAATTTCACGGACCTCTGGGCTTACGTTTCTTGGCAAATAATGAAAGGGCGGCGGGAGCCCCCTCCCTCGAAGGGCACGTTGGGGAGGTTTTTGCCCTGGCCGCAACTCCTTCAAACGCGATGCGACTTGTGCAGCGCCTCTCCCACCTCCGCGCCCAGCCATGTCCAATGCTTTTAAGCGTGACCTTCGCGCGGGGCGGATGCAGCCGTCACGCCGCCGAGGTGACTCAAAGGCAGAGCGGGGGGCCGGGGAAGGGGGGCCACGGCCGGGGGGCAGCTGCTGCTTCCAGCGGAGCAACTTTTCCATGGCCGTTTTTTGTGGGTTTTTTGTTTTGTTTTGTTTTTTTTCCACCCCCCCGCAGCCGCGCTCTTTTCCGGCGTGGCGCACACAAAGGGCCGGGCGTACCTGCGGTGATGCGAGTGGCCCAATTACCGCTCCCGCACCCGGCCTGGCCGTTTCCATAGCTTCGCTGCGCGGCGCTTCCCTCTCCCGAGGCCACCGGAGCAGGACCCGGCCTCTTATCAGCGATCATCCTGCCACGCAGCGCTCCTCCGGGCCCTACCTGCCGACGGCCAGTCTCGCTGGCGACGCAGGATAATATCTTTTTCCCACCAGAGCCGTGTAATGATTTCTTCCCGCTGCAGTTTTGTCTTGCTTCCAAAGCCGCTTGCATAACCGGGGCCGGGGAAGCAGAGCACAAAGCAGGGCAGCTGCGGGAGCTCCCCGGAGCAAGGGATAGGATGGGGTGAGAGGCTGTCCCAGCCACGAGGGGCTCTGGTGCTCCGATCCTGCCTAAGGAAGGGCAAGAGGAGACCTCTAAAAGGACTAGTGGGTCCACCTGGCCAAACCCCACCTGCAACCTGTGAAGCTGAGCCAGGAGTACAAGGAGATGGAAGGCAGGATATTCCACCTCCCCACCCCATGGGCCAGATCCTGTCTGGGTGAGAGCTCCATGGGAGCCCAGAACCACTCCCTCTCAAAACTGGCACAGATTTGGGGCTGAAAAGCCTGCTCCAGAAGGAGAAGGGGTGTTTGTGGCCTCCTGAGGGGGGGACTTGCTCAGGGTTCTGTCTTCTCTGAGGTGGCCTTGGCCAGGAGCGGGAGCATTGGGCATGCAGAGGCATGGGGTGTGTCTGCTGGGACCTGTGTCATGGTGGAGAGGCCCATTCCAGCTGGGACAAACAGGAAAATCATGAACTGAATACCCTGATATTCTCCTAGAGAGGGTCCTGCATCCTCCCCCACCTCAGCCAGAGCCACAGCCAGTGCTGCACATCCCACCCATCCTGCCTTCGCTTCTCAGCTCCAGAGCTGGATCCATGGGCAAAGCCAGCAGGGATAACTACCTGGCACAAGCAGGCTGAGCCCATATCCTGGCCAGAGGACCATGGCTGCACTGCCAGCCATCCCCCCAGCACACGCAGTAAAGGTTGATCAGCACTCAGCAGCCTCTGGGTGATGATGCAGGAAGGGCAGACCCCATCATGGATCCGTCCACAACTTCCCAGCCAGGCTGGAATTGTTCACACTAATAGTTTATCCACCAGAATCTCTATTTTCAGAGAGACTCTAATTATTACTCTCTGGTGACCAGCAGTAGGACCCAAGGGAACAGCATGAAGCTGTGTCAGGGGAGGTTTAGTTTAGATGTTAGGAAAAGGTTCTTCCCTCAGAGGGTAGTCAGGCACTGAACAGGCTCCCCAGGGAAGTGGTTCTGGTCCCAAGCCTGTCATATCTCGGAATGTTCTTAGACAACAGTCTCAGGCACAGGGTGGGATTGTTGGGGTGTCCTGTGCAGGGCCAGGAGTTGGACTGGATGATCCTTGTGGGTCCCTTCCAACTGAGGATATTCTGTGAGTCCATAATTCTCTGATCTGCAAATTTGGGCTCCATCTGAAAGAACAAGGAACATCTGTTATCTTGGGATAAGCAAAGTGTTTATTTTTGACTTCTGTGGTATTAGAGGAACTTTGCAACTTTTCACTTGCCATCTAGAAAAGTAATTTATATCAATAGTGGGTAAAACCAAGGGCCTCCTGCTGTTAAAGCAACACTTTTTTGTGTTTGAGAAAGAATATCTAGAACAGTTCATTTTGGGTTGACCCAAAGTGATTTCTTTCCCCTGGGTTTTTGATTTAACAGCCCAAACAATACAAACCCCACTCATTCTCCCAGCCCAAGGATACTTTTTGCCACAGATCAGCTGCCTGCTTGAAATTTTCCATGCTTTGTGGCTGAGTCAGACTACATTTTTCTCTCCAAAATTCAAGCAAAAACTCATTTCTGAGAAGACAGTTTTGCTCACCAAGCAGGACCACGAAGCTTTTCCCATTGCCTTGCCTGGAATCAAGAATGAAGTGGCTGTGCTGGGCCCTGCTCCATTTCCCAAGGGCTGCACACACACTTAGGGGAATTATCAGCCCCTAGAAATGGTTGTTTGGAGAGTAGTTTCCACACTGGCAATGCCACAGAATATGCTCATCTTCTGGAAAACAGGGATCTCCCAAGGAGCAGAGGGCAGCCCAGCAGCTGATGTGCAGGGAAGGAACTCAGGCAGGGTCTGTAGGGATGAGATGCTCCCAGTCCTGGTGCTGTGGCTCAAGGGCTTTGCAAGGTGGAGGTGGGATGTTTGTGTTTTCTCTTCCTTCTTGCTTTTTTTTGCCCTAATCTCCCTCTGCCAGGTTTGAAAGCTGCACCTGCATGACAGTTTAAACTCTGGTATGAACTCTCTTGCTTCACACCTCACCACTGGAGCATCCTCCTGGATCCCACCTGGGGGCAAATGGAGCTGGTGATGGCCCATCATACATGGAGATTGCAGACACAACAGCTTCCTCCAAGACCTTCCACCATCAGAAGGGATTCATTTCCCACCAGAGCTCCAGAGGCAGGAGGAGAGGGAGGCAGGGGTTACCTGGTGAAGCAAGCAATGGCTCACCGAGACCAAACACATCCATAGGACCCTGAAGGAGGAGGAGGACAAGGCTGACAAACTCAAGAGCGCTCATGCCCTAGCACAGCCATGTTTTCTAAGCTATATTCCCAAATTGTCCCATGTCCCCAGCCCATCAACACCTGGGTGCAGGCAGGGCTTGCTGGCTCTGCCAGATGTGCCAGCCCTGTGCCTGCCCTCCGGGAGGGCTGCAGAGGGCAAGCCCCAGGGCAGGTCTCCAGCCTCCTGTGGCTGCTGCTGGGCTGACACCCGTCTGTGCTGGGCAGCAAAGGCAAGTCCACCCCTGCCTGCACCCACAGCACCTGCCTCGCCGAGATGGGACAGGCTGTGACCTGATTGTGGGAGGAACAAGAAGGCTCCTGGGCAGCAAATGCACGAGCCCAGGTTGTGCTGGGTGTCAGCTCAGCTCTGCTCAGCCCAGACATGACTCGGGACACCTGGCACACTCCTCAGAGACAGCTGGAGCAGCAGAGAAACAGCAACTTAGGTCCATTTCCCTCTTTTCCCTGCCCTCCTGGAGCTCTGCCACGGCCAAGAAGGGAAGAGATGCCCCAAAAATGTGACTGGAATACGAATGTGATGTTCAGGCTGTGGCAGTGGCTGTAACCCAGTTTGAACTCTCCAGCCACAGAGGTCCGTCCTGCTCTGCAGGCAGCAGGGATGAGACCAGCCTGGCTGACAAACCCTCCCTGCAGCCCCAGCTCTCCACCACCAGCCCACTGGGAAGCTCCTGCCAGTTGCTGCCTGCACCCCTCTGCTTGCCCACAGAGCCTTCCTGCCTGTGCCACAGCCCGCAGCCCTCGGCATCCCCATGGCCTGGCAGAGGTTGCTGGCAGTGTCTGTCTGAGCAGATGCTGAAGGAGAGGGAGCAGCCCACATGTGGTCATGCCTGGGAGAGATCCAGGCCACTGGGTTTGGTCACGTTGGAGAGCAGAGTCAGGGATGTGGATGTGAGAAATCCAACGGCTCTGAGGACAGAGTGGCTGCATCCCCAGGCAGTGAGGGGGTGCCAGGGCTGGACACTCCTGTCCCTGAGGGGGCTGTGTCTCGGGAGGTCCCCTCCTGCTTCCAGCACTTTGGCTCTGAAAGGGGCCAGAAACCCCAGGAAAGGCTTCTGTGTATCCAGTGGAGCAGGACCACCTGGCCCTCCTCACCCTTGGCTCCCTTTCCATGGGCATTCCACCCTGCACTCACTCAGCTCCAGCACCACAGAGCTCAGCTGGAGAGTTTCCTCTGGTTTTCCAAACTCAACACACCCGAGCAGCGATTTGGGATGAGGCAGAAGAGCTGCATTGGACTGTTGGCATCCACAGAGCAGGACTGAGGTCCCTGGGATACAGCATCCCTGTGCAAGCATCCACAAGTGAGCCAGACCTTTCTGGCAGGAGTTGTACCTATTCCAGCTGTAGGCTTGGGGGTGTCTTCTCCCACTTCAGAGGTAGGACTTGTCCATGACCAGGAGGATGCTCCATGGGGCTGTGGGCAGCAGAGGCTTTGCCCAGGTCTGTAAGGTGCCTATTCCTGGGCTGGGAGAGAGGCCTGAGCAGGGCCTTGGTCTCCAGCCTGGGCAAGCCAGCCATGGAGAGGGAAAGGGGATGAGGAGAAAACTGGGTGTAATGAGAGGCTGCTGCAGATCTGCTCAGCCAGGGCTGTGGCAGCACTGGGATGTGTGTTAAGAACTGGCTTCCCCAAGTTTAGGAGGCTGAGAGATGCGTGGAATAAATTACTTGTGACACTGACTCCTACACTTCCAGACTCACACGGGATTTAGCCACCAGACTCCCAGTTAAGTCAGCGCCAGTTATTAAGGTCAGGAGAAGTCGGGTGGCTAAATCCTATCCGGGGCTGTGGCACAGGGCTGTGCCAGTCTGAGGAGGCATCCTGGTGCTCCGAGGGGATGTGCCCCCCAGCACCACTGCCCAGCACCCAGAGCAGACTGGGAGTGCTCCCAGTGCAGGCTGGCAGTCAAATAAACAAATTGTCCATTATTGCATCCAGTTCCTTCATGGGGGTGTTTGGGAGAGGAGAGAGGAGAGAGAGGAGAAAGAAAGGCAGATCTTGCCCTGATCCAGGAACAGCCTGGTTTGTTTTGCAGCTGGATTCTGAGTGGTTTCACTTATTCCTTTCCTCCTCCACTACCTGAGGTCTCAAATGCTCCAGGGAGATGTCTCCATTAACCACAGTTTTCTTTGGCAGTTATATTTCATTATAGTCTCTCCTCCCCGCTAATCTTTCCCAGCTTTTGTTGTTGTTGTTTTTATGATGATGATTTTTCACAAACCCCTTTGTTTCCAGCTGTACTTAACCTGGCCATGTCCCTTTAAATACCACAGCCTGGGCAGAATAGGGGATCAGTCCTTTGACAGGAGCTAAAGTCCTGTTTGATCTGGATTAGATGCTGATTTTGCTTACCAGACTAAAGACCGAGGGGGACCACGCAGTGCCTGTGTTTGCACAAACCTGCCTGGTCGCATTCCTCTTCCTCCCCGTGTCCAGCCGAAGGGGTGAGCGCGGGGCTGTGCACACAGCTTGAAATCCAAGCGGATAAACGGTCACTTTGTCTGGAGACGTAAGAAAATGGAGGTGGGAGGACGGAGGCGGCAGCTCCGTGCTGTGCTGGAGAGGTGGCTCGGGGTGCAGAGCCTCCCCAGGGCGGGAGCAGGTCAGCACCCATCGCTGGAACGCCCCTGGGC